GGAAATTAATAGGAAAGGAATTAGCAAAGTCATCTCCTTTGTCATTTTTAAATCCCAATTGCAGGATGGCATCTCTGGAAGATCCCCAGCTTTTAAGATGTATTAGATGCAAACGGCCCTGGATAAAGAGCGTTTCTAACCCTTTTTTTTTTTTTAAGTCTCTTTCAGGCAAACTCAAGGATACTCAATGATTTGAAGCACTCAGGTGCTAGCCATGGTTTAGTTGCACAATAATAAAAAGTCTGACCTTATTATCGACACCGAAATGTCCTCCTCATCCAAGTTTTACAGCGTTGGCAGCTTGTTCGGCCACCACTGGTAATTTTCCAACTCCTGTTGCTCATTTTTACCGAAACCTTTCCCTTTTGAGCCAGCAGGCAAATCCGGAGTCTCCCCGTTTTCTATGATTTCCCAACCAGCCTCTGAGTCTCACTCCGGTTTCTCGACCTTCCGTCCCCACTCCAAACGGCGCCAACAAAATTAGAGGTGCTGGGAGGGGGGCACTCGACGCTGCTCCCCAGGGCTGATATTTTTCCAAAGGCTCATGCTAATTTTCTGATACGATCCCCACCTCTTTGTGAGCCGCTAAATCCTCATTACTTTTCCTGACCGATGCATTCTAATTAGATCAACACTTTAAGGAAGGAGGGAAAAAAAATAGAAAAGAAAAAAAAAAAAGAAAGAAAATTCACAATAGCCACAGGACGGCTTTCCATCTCATTAACTCCTCACTTATTATTTTCAGGAAAATTACTGATAAAACCGGGCATCTCCATTTGCTGGGACTTGGAGCTTCGTCGGCTCATATCTAACATCTCTCTCATCGCCCTGGATGCGAGCCGTTGCCATGACAACCCACAATAATAGAAACTAATAAATTACAAACGAGATGCTCGTCGAGCAATTATTGTTCCCTTTTATGCCGGCATCTCGCTAATTTTGATCATAAGGAACGCCACAATAAAGCGACAGAGGGAAAATAAGTCCGTTTCTCGAGATGATGAGAAAATCGAGAGAGGCCAGGTTTTTAGATCAATGATTAAGTGGTTTGGCTCTTTCCGGAAACCCAAATAAGAAATAAAACTTTTTTTTTTTTTTGGTCCTTTTTCCTCCCAGCGGCGAGCGGCTGGTAATGCTGCTGCAGGAGTTTTGCACTTGGTAGCATGCAATGCCGAGCGGCTGAAAACAACTCTTTCGCATTAAAAATGCCCTTAAAAGACCGGTAAGAAAATGCTAAGCACTGTCTGCGAATGTTCTGGATGTTTTTTGGAAGAAACACAAAAACCCCCTTGGGAACTTCAATGCAGAGAGAAGATTTGGGGATTTTTGCCCCCAGATGCCACTTGCTTTGGCCATTTCTGCTGGTATTTCGGCCTTTCTTCGGCCAGCTTGGCATCCCTGGGGCATTCTGCTGCTTTTTTTAACCCTTTTTTCTGGCGTTTCCGCTTACTTTCACACTTGCATTGGATGCACCACTGGTTTGGCTCTCCAAGCTATGGCCCGTGCACCAAATGTGCCATTCGTTAATTATGCAAATCAGCATTTTACTAACACCATGCAGTCCCGTTCCATGTTAATTACAAAAATTTGGTCACTATGCAAAAAGCATTACAGCATGGCCCAGGGGGCAGCCAGCAAAGTGCCCTGCCCTGGCAAGATGACGGCGCCAAGATGCAGCGCGTCCCAAAAGCTGCCCAAGAGGCCCCAAAAAGACAGGACAAAAGAAGCAGAGGAAATAGCAGCATTTCTGCTCTGCTGTGAAAAAAATAGCATTTTTTTTCAAGACTTTTGCAGGGAGCCAACATAAAATTCCCACGGTTCCCATCCAACCTGCCCGAGGCTCCTCTGATTCCCACCAGGTACTGCAAATAAACCCCGATTTATAGGATTTTTTTTTTTTTAATTTTAAGAAAGAATCCCTTCGATGGCATAACAGCGAGGATCACAGTTGTGTTTTGCTAGCACTCTCCAACAAAACCCATGCAAAATAAGTAATAATAACCCCCAACGCTTTGTGTGAGAGGGATATGGTTGTTTTTTTTAATCGTTAATTTTTTTGATTTTTTGTTTTATTAAATTCCAGGGCTCGCAGGATGGTGTCAGGAGACAAGGCAAAGATGTGGGCGCGTGTTACCTGGGGGTGGAGGTTGAGGGAGGCCTGGCTGGGCGAATATGGCCCGCCGAGGTCATTCCTGAGTAGGTTGTCGCTGTGCATCTTGGTTTTGAGGCAGGTGATGTAGCGGTTGCAAAAGTCCTTGCACAACTCATTCACCTTCTCCAGCTCCAGGAGGTGAATGCGCAGCACCTGGATCGCCTTCACCATCTAAACAAGAGGGAAAAGACAGAGGCCGGCACCCACCTGTTTAATTAACACACTGAAACGCTTTTTTTTTTTTTTTTTTTTTTTTGCTTGCCACGCCAAATAATAAAGATTTCGGCCAAAATCCACCTCCAAGGAGGAAATCTCAGATTCCTTTCCCCCAAACCTAGCTGGTGAAAATTGACAATAATTAACCATTGCCTTTCTGGGAAATGCCCCCAAAAAGTCAGAGCTGAAGGCCCGGATGCAAAAGAGTGTTTTTTTATCCTCAGCAGGCCACTCTTTTGAAATAACGAGATTATGGGGCTGCACCACTGCCATAAGCCATTGCCGGTGCAAAGCCTGAGCCTCATTAAAATGTACCCCATAAATGTTAAAAAATTTACACATAAACCATTCCTCTCGTGGAGCTGAAACCTTAAGTTTTACAGCCGCTGTTTGAAATCTTGCATAATATATAAAATCTCAGCTATTCACTCTGGGGCAATAAAGTCAGTTTTATGTAACAAAACGTCTTTGCATTTCAAAGGGTGTTTTTCAACTTGCAAATTTTAGTGGTCATCTTTACAAACTGTTAGTCACCAAGGTCTGGAAACAGCTCCCCGAAAACCGAGCCTCGGCCGCTGGCTCCCCTGCAGGGGGACAATGTTTCTCATGAAGCGTTTTGCAAACACCAGGGCCAGCATGGCCAGGAAAAGAACTTTTTTCTCATTTTTTTTCTCATTTTGCTTTTTTTCTCCTTCTACTTATTTTTCTTCCTCAGCGTGAGGGGCAGTGGGACAGAGTTGCGTCCTCCGCATCGCCCCGGTGGTCACGGCCGTGAAAGTCACTATTCAAGGGCAAAGGCAAGACGACCTGCCACATCGACGTCTCAAAAATAAATCTCTCAATTATCTCAGCTCATTTGCTTAGGGTCTCATTTTATGTCCCTGCTCCGCTGCGCCGTATATCTGTCCGGATAAAGAGTTACAGTCCGATAGAGTACGTGCACGGGGTTGTAAAAAATACAGATGCTGAATTAATTGACTGTGTGGCACTCAGCAGCTGATTGAGTTGATAATGGGGAGATCTGACCTTTTTCTAATTTCTAATTATGTGCATCTCGGCTGCGAGGAATACATGACTCTTATTCTAATGATCGCTAACGCCGCTGGCCTTTTCGGCGCCGCTTTGCCATGAGCTGCGGTGGCCCCTTCCCCGGGAGCTGGAGGTGTTTGAAAAAAATTAAAAATAAGCCGGATAGTGCAGATTTCAGCCGACAGGTCGCAGGGGCTCTCAAACGGGTGGAAACATTAAGTCAGTGCCATCCTGGGTCAGATTTTCCACTCTTTAGGTCCAGCAGCCCCCTGCATGCAACCCACCACAGGTGGGTTTAACCTCGTCAGCAACCCAGGAGAGCTGCTCCCAAACAGAGTATTTCAGGCCCAGAAAACACAATTGATCAGTTTTCCTACGAGAAACCACCCAGAAAACAGTCAAAATAGACTGGAGACTCTGCTCTACAGGGAAATACCTTTTCCTTCCCAAAAGTTTAGACTTCTGCTCAGCTCCAGCATCCTTCCATCCTTGCTAGACCGCTGGATCTATTTTTACCGCATTTAACACTACGGAGTTTTTTTGCTCAATGTTTGACGCATTTTCAGCCCAAAAACCCACACCGCTTTTCCTGAAACAATCCCACACATTGCTTTTTTGAGTTTTAGGTTGCCCCCGGCTCAGCCAGGCCAGGTTTTCCCTGCTCTCCATGGCTTGGGCCTCCCTCCAAGCTCTTTACTGTAATGTCATATTAATTCAGGCCAGCTTTTAGGTATACAAGATAATGAATATTCCAGACTCTCAGCGTGAGCATCTTCTGAGCGGCCACCATAAATAATTCTTCTTCCTCATTGATCTGTTTTATGTGCCTAACATCGATTCGGCCTTCAGGAGGGCTGTGAGAACTTCACATCATCCCAGAGTAGCTTCTGATGTTGTCTATTGGACGTCACGAAACGTCTCTGGTATTTGCAAACGAGGCTTTGCGCACCCTGTAATTTGGTGGCAGGGAGCTTGGTGCATACCCCAAACTGGTGATGTCTCCACTGAGCTGCTCTCGAATTCAAGATCTTGCAAACCCCCCTCCGTGGCTTGAAACTGGCCGTAAGAGTTTCAAGACCGCCTCAGCTTGCAAACTGGCATCAGCCATAAGACATGGAAGAGTTTCAAGACCTCATTGACCTTAAAACGTGCTTGCAGAGCACCCAGGGGTTGAGCTGAGATGGCAGGAGACGTTAGACAGAGCTCAGCTGAGACAATCTGGGTAAAACTGTCCAAAGTGGCCCAAAACATTGATATGTATCTCTCTTTTCGGAAAAGGTCTCGTTTTGCCCTGTTTCTTGGAGACGTTCTTGCAGGTGAGCTGAGCTGACTGCCAACCCAATCCACTCAACCCAACCCAATAAACCAACCCAACCAATCAACCCAACCCAACCATCCCAGCCCAACCAACCAGATCAATCAACTCAACCCAATCAACCACTCCAACAAATCAACCCAACCCAACCCAACACAATCAACACACCCAGCAATCAAATCCAATCACACGATGGTTTATGTTGCACTGAAGAAAACAGTTAATTCCTCCAAGTTTGGGGTACAAACCGGCCCACAGGCTTGCCAGTTCCCATACAATGCTTTGGCCCTGCAACGTTTGCGAAGAAAACTACCCTACATCCTGCTGGCTTTTATGCCGAAGGTGCTTGGGAAGGTATAGCAAGGTCTACTGAGAGAAGTGCCAAGAAGGCCAGCACTATAAATTTGGGGTATGCAGTTTTTGAAGCACTCAGAGCAGCCAAGTGGACCTCCAAGATGTTGTCCAAGTGGCAGCGCTCATAATTCATTCTCCACCTGCTTGCCCCTCCCAAAACAAACACAAAAAGCATCCGGCAACTACCGTCCCAATTTACCAGGTTGTCCAGCTCGGGGTCATCACTGAAGAAGGGTTTGTGCTCCTGCTCCTGCTGGTGGACAAAGTTCTCAATGTCAACATCGAAGCTGGCTGAGGTGATGCACTCAGAGCCCTGTGTCGCCTGCTCGCACTTCTCGAAGAGCAGCGTCAGCAGTGGAAAGAGGGGGTGCCTGCAGAAGCGAGAGGGGGCCTCCGTTATTGCCACTGGACACCCCCAGACACCTGCCTACCCTGCCAGATCCCAGCCACGCAAACCTCACCTCCACCAAGCCAGCACCAAAATTAAGCCTGATCTCCCTGATGACGTGCTGGAGCTTGGCATGACTCCAGCTAGACCTTTTCCCTGCAAGATGGAAACCCCCTAAAAGAGAAGTGCATCATCCCCTCCTCCAGGTACGCTTTCTCCCCCATCTTGTTGCTTTTCTGCATCACACTGAAAGCCTGCAGAAAGGGTGCACCACTACCGCATCAGGGCACTTCTGCAGTATTTTCTGCTGGGCAAACGCTGCCCTGCTCTGCTGCACCTTGGGGGGATATCCCTGGGGGAAATCTTGGAGGTTTGGCATCATCACAGCAAAGATTTCCTCTCAGTGCTTTCCTCTGCCTTTGCCTTTTGTGCTCTCCTCCATCTTTGCATTTCGTGCTCTCCTCTGTTTTTGCTTTTCATGCTCTTTTCCATTTTTGCATTTTGGGCACCAACATCTGCCCTGAGACTGGGCCCCATGACGACCCACTCCACGAAGACTCCAGAGATCTCCTCATGCCTTGCACAGCCAAAAGCACGACCCCTAAATCTGCACTGACTGCTTTGCAGCCCATCAAGTGGCCCATTTCATCCCAGAATGTGGGTTAGTTTGAGATTGCGCATGGGAAGAGGCTGCTATTTCTATTTGCAAGCAGCTCTGTGCGACAAGCCCCCCTTTGGGAGGGCTCTGTACCACCTTTGAGAAGATCTGTGACTGCACACAAAATAAAAGAACAAAAAAAATCCACTTCTTCACCCATATCTCCCGTGAGCTCCCTCTTCCAAAACAGGCTTGCTATTCTCAGCACTCCCCGCCAATCACAACACTAAATCAGTGCAATATAAAACATCTATGTGCATCACACTCAGCATAGGAAAAACATGAAGACTAGCAGTTAGTGCAACCCTAAATGAAGACAACCCTTTCCATGCATGCAATTTTTTAAAATAGGAGTATTACCAGTGACTTGGAAGCAAGAAATGCAAAATGCTGCTGCATGGCCTGTTCCCCAGCAGCCACAGCTGCTGCACCCCAGTTATTCCCTGCATGAGCAGTGGGATTTGCGAGACCTGTTTTCTTTCCTTTGGATGATCACCTTAAAGCAACACCCCTGGGTGTTCACCATGGCATTATCAGGATTACCAGTAATATGAAATGACATAAAAAATATTATAAGACTGGGAAAAAAACAATTTTGGCCCAAAGGAGGGGCTGATGATCTCTTCCAATCTCTCCCTTTTTGTAGATCTTTTCCACATCAAGGATTATTCTCCCCATTTTCCATGTTTCTGCTTCTCGTCCATTTTGTGCGAATCCAATCAAGATGTCACAGGATTAGGGTTTGCACCCAAAAAGTAACCTCGTAGCTTATCCCTGGCACTGGAAATAATGGGGTGCAAGGTGCATGATGGGGGTTAATCCAAAGAATGTTTTCGGGCAGGAGAGGTCCTTGCTGAAAATGCCAAAACTCTTTTTTTTTTTCCCTCATTCCCACAGCAAAGCCCAAGAAGGATTTCCACAACAAGTCATATTTTGGGGCAGGACGGCAAAGCGGTAGCCAGGAACAAAAGGGGAAGAAATTTGCTTGTGCTGTAATTCACACCTGTAATTTCCCATGCACCAGCCACGTAATAATTAGGATTTCAATTGCATAATTTTGCATGCACAACATTTTGGGGTTGCCATTTCATGCTGACTCCATTTCCTCCAGGTAATTGCACTTTTATTGCTGAAAAGCTGGTTGTTGGACACTTCCTCAAACCTGCCGGATTAGCTGGTGCTGAGCTGGAGACTGTCGAAGGGGTTAAACCCTTGGCTAAATCTTCATTTGCAGCTACTAATACTGCAGCATATTATAGTCTAATCTTGCCTGATCCCAGTTTAATGCAAGATTCGCTGAGCCCGGAACAGAAAACGGAGGGAGGGGGTGAGAAAAGGAGGGAAAAATTAAAAAAAAAAAAGCCTCAGCAGTCGTAATTTAGGCAGTGGCTTAGCCGAGGGATATGAAAGGCAAATTCCAGGCAGCGTTATGAATTATTGCGGTGCGAGTACCCAGCCGCCGTTTCAGTAGGTCCTCAATCGAGAGGGGCAAATCGGCCCCGAATCAGGGTGGAAAAGAGTGATTTTTAACCCGTCAAGGGGATTTATTAGCACTTGGCCACCGCCAATTCAGGTTGCAGCAGCACCCAGGGCACAGAGGATGTGGAAACTGAGTGTGGTGTGATGGGGGGTGGGAAGAGATCTCGAGCTTGTTTGGGAGGGAAAAAAAGGGAGAAAAATGAGGTGGAGGTGTAGCTGGGTTAAGGGAGAGGACCAAGGCCCCAGAGGCAGAGCAGTGTCAAGGAGCAGCAAAACCCAGGTCTACCACAGGACTTGGATTTTTTTGTCAAAAAAACATAGTTATGAATAGAAGAAAAAAGAAAGCAAAATCACCAGGATGCTTCCTAACTTTCAGGCAAGCAGGATTTTCACCAGAAAGGATTTGAGGCTAGAAAATGAGGGTTTTGCAAAAGGTGATTTTGCAAGGCTGGAGGCAAGTGCCCGCTCCTTCACTCCCTTTCCCTCCTCTCCAGCCATCAGAAATAAATCTCGCCGGCGCGGATCCAGGGAGAGTTTGATCCTCGCTGGCGCCGAACAAATAAAAGGGCTGAACCGGCCTGACATTTTCCTGCAGGAGAGAGGTCGTTGGCAGCCGCTAATAAAAAGGATTTGACACGGGCTAATAAAGAGAAATGAATTCCTCTAATGGCCTAATTTTGCACATTCAGCAGCGCTCTGCTACGAGCCCAGCGGCGGGGGGGGGGGCACCCGCCCCCCCCGCGGTTTGCAGGTTTTTTAAGAAAAAAAATAACGCAAAGGAACAAGGACATTTGCCCACTTGCAAATTCGGGGTGCCCCGAAGCCTCCCCAGTGAACCCCGCGATAAAGGCACCCTGGTGTTAAAACTGCGCCAAGTGCCTACGACCAGTGCAAAAAGTGCAGCCTACAACAAATGTGATTTGCAACAAACACAGTTGAAAAAAAAAAATCTGTAAATTTGCATTTTGCAAAAAAACGCAATATTTGCACAAAAAAAAAATGCAATTTGCAAAAAATCCACTAGGTTGCAATCCAGCACACAGCAAAAAGGCTTTTTTCTTTCTTTTTCCCATGTCTTCAGAGAATTATTTCCATCCCTTTGGGGAACGTCCCCTTGTGAGCTTTTTGCCCTCCTTGCCAGGCTGGCTAGGTTCGCTCTTTGGCCCCGTTCACGGAAATTTGGAGTTTGACTGTTTCACCATGGGTGTCCTCGCGGCCAACAAATCCTGGTGGCACTGATCAGCTCCCACACAGCCCAATTCGGAGAGATAGGCTCCAACCCCCAGTTTTGAAGTAGAGTATGTATTATTAAGGCCTGGTTCGGCCTCTTGGTCAAACAGCAGCAAGTCTTGCTGGGATGCAAAGAAATGCAATTTTTGCTTTCATGTTCCTGGGTGGGGTTTTTTCGCCCAAAACAGACGCTTGTGGCTCCAATCTGGGGCAAGACAGTTGCCTGAAGGTGCCGCCTTCATGCAAAATCAAACCCAGCACCTGCTGCAACATGATAGCAATAGTTTTTGGGGGGCTTCAGGGCTTTTTTTGGTCATTTGGGGTGGTAAGGGGTTGTTTTCCCCCCATACAACCCCAGGGGGATTTCTCTGCACGTCAGGGCCCCAAGGCTACATGTGGGTGATGCATCCCTTAAGGCTTTTGTGCATCTTTTATTTTGCACTCTAGGTGCTCCAAATGAAAAAAAAGAGGAATACAGAGAAAGAGAATATAAAGAAACCTTCTATCTTCCTGATAGGAAGAAAAAGCATCATGTAGAAAAAGCAAAAAAAAAAAGAAACCCACCTTTTTTGCTAAACCCCCCCCCCCCGCCCGCCGGAGCCGAGACGTGCACGGGCTGCGCCTTGGCCGGCTGCTGGGCCGTGGCCGTCATCTGCAGGGAGACAAAATGAAACGCAGTCACGCAAGAGAAATTAAAAAGAGCATTAAAACGGAGGGGGTTATTGCAACTTTTCCCATGCCCCCTTTGGGTTTTGCAAGCACCGCCGCAGCTTTGTGGCATGCTTTTAAGTCCAATTTGCCCCGAAACGGTGCTGCTGTTGCTTTTGCACCAACCAAGCGCAACCCCCAAGCGCTTTGCACACCTGAGCGCCAACCCCAAATTTGAAAACATGCAGCTCCCAATTTGGGATAGTCACCAAAATTGCCCTGTTAAAAAAAATTAATTAGCACCTAATTACTGCTCATTTGTCCTTGGATTTCTGAGGATGCCCCTTCTCAGACCCTTGGCTGCAATTTCCCAGCGGCCAGGCTGAGAAAGCAACACCAGCTGCATTTTTCGGATGGGGGGATTTTAACATAGAGTGGACATCTGGCAAAATTTTGTGAAAATACGCATTTGCCTGGTTGCTTGGATAAACCCTCACTCACCCTCAAGCAGGCAGCAAAAGGAAGCCTTAACCTTCCTTCATATTTCTTATATTCAGAAATATTTATAATATTTCAGCCTTAACCTTTCTCCTGCTGCCTGTTTTTTAGAAATATATATGAATGCATATGTATATATGTGCGCTAACCCGTCTTCAGCCAAACTCACCCTCCTATTCCTGGTTTTGGCATTAAGAAGCCACTTTCTCACCTGGATTAAAAGCAGCGGCTCCACGCAAACCAAGGCGGGCCCAAATCTCGGTTTTAAAATGTTTAACTTTAATATCTCCTGGCTGACCTTTCGCTGCTGCTTCAGAGTTTTTTAATCTCTTTTAGCACTCGTAATTTGGCTGGCCTCAAAGTTTTTTTTCGCTCGCTGCCTTTAAAAAATGCGGATTTATCTGCGTTTTCGTCCCCTTGCTCTTTATTTCCCATGTGCTACATCACAGAGGAGCAAATTTTATTTTTACACCCCTCTGGGGTTTTTTCTTCTCGTAGTTTGAATGCAATGGCAGGTGGATTTTGGGGGCAACCCACGAAGTTAGAGTCTCTCCAGCACTTCCTTATTTTCTACTTTTTCCTCTGCATTAATCCCATTGCCTCTGTACCTTGCTGGGCGAAAACAGGCTTTTTTTATTATTTATTTTTTGTTTTTGTTTTTGTTTTTTGGGGCTCTCGCATTTCCTCCCAGCAGTAGGGATGCAAGAAAATACAGTGGAAAAGTGTATCTTCATGGATAAAAACGTCTTGCAGTGAAAAATGCAGAGCAAAGTTTTGGATAAGGGACCCATGTCCAGGTTTTGAGCCAGAAAAACCGATTTTGGGGTCAGGAAGAGCCAAATTCTGCTTGGCCACGTGCATTTCTTGCAGTCGCACTCCCATTTTCCGTTCCTGGCGGGGCAAATCCCTCACCAAAATTAATGCTCGCTCACCGGACAAACCTCAGTTTGTGACAAAATAGGATATTCCCTTTTTTTGCCGTTTTTTCAAAGACTACGGACAAATAGGTCAATGCTAGAGAAAGAAAAGGGTGAAGGTTTGAGGGTAGAAAACCTGCTAAATCAGCAATATTTAACGCACGCCCCGTAGTGTTGTCAAAAGGCAACGTCTCACTGCCACGACGTGTGAGAGCAGCATGCCCAAAACTTCGAATTCTCAGCCCAAAAAGGTTATTCCCTTTTTTGAAATGCAGGGGAAAGGCTTCCTGCTGCCGCTTCTGGAAACCTGCAGTGGGTTTGCACCAAAAAAGGCAGGAACATCCCCAAAATCCGACCGAAATCACGCACAACCCCCCAGGTGAGCACATCAGGGTGCTGCAGCAGAGTTGCCCATGGAAAAACCTGTTCCTTGAAATAACAAATGCCATAACTACGCTCGCAAAGGGGAAGGTTATTCCAACACTTAGGGCAACGTTATACGTGAAGCTGTTTTTTTCCCTTTTTCGCCAAAAACCCACAAAATAAATCAAAACACCATTCAAATCTTCTTTCTCCAGTCCTATTTAGTGAGACAGTTCAGTTTCCCACCCGGTTACCCGGCACCTACGAGGCAGGGAGAGCAACCCCTGGGCATTTTTAGCTGGGAAAGGGATTTTCTTGCAAAATATTGGCACATTTCAGGGAGGCTGAGCATTTCCCTCGGTGCATTTCTCACTGGGAAAAGCACTTCATTGCAAAATATCAGCACTGTTTGGTAGGCTGGGCATTCCCCTTAGTGCATTTTTAGCCTCGAAAGGAACTTTATTGCAAAATTTCAGCACCATTCAGGGAGACTGAGCATTTCTCTTGGTGCATTTTTCACCTGGAAAGGCACTTTATTGCAGAATAGTGGCACCATTTGGGGAGACGGAGCATATCCCTCGGTGCATTTTCAGCCTAGCAAGGCAATTTATTGCAAAATATCGGGCACTGTTCACAGAGACTAGTTCGGCTGGGCATTTCCCTTGGTGCATTTTTAGCCTGGAAAGGCACTTTATCGCCAAATATCAGCACCGTACGGGCAGATTGAGCCTGCAGGGCATTTCCCTTAGTGCATTTTTAGCTGGGAAGGGCATTTTATGGCAAAATAGCAGCCCTGTAGCAGGGGGATGTACCATGCAGCGAAGGGAGTCCGGGGGGGATTTTGGGGTGTCCCGTGAAGGTTGGGGGGGGTCCTGTGGGTGCTGCAGGACACTCACCTGTGGAGTGTCCTGGTAAGGGGGAGGGGGCACACTCTGGGTGGCCTTCATTGTCAGAGCCGGCGCCGGGGAGACATGGTGCATCCTGGGTGGGCGTCACATCGAGAAGCTGCGGGTAGAAGAAATGCAGTGGAGTTAGCCCCCCCCAAAACAGTCTAATAAAAGAAAAAAAAGGAAAAAAAAAGACAGAAAGAAGAAGAGACATCTGCTGTTCCCCTTCCTGTGAGCCCCACTGCAAATCACATCCGCCCACTCAACCCCTCGCAGTGATGCAGAGGGCTCCCTCCCATGCCAGGGGCAATTTTTGTTGTCTCGTACTCTTTTTTGTTGGTTTTCATTCCTTTTTATTGAATTGAGATTCTCTGGCGCATCGCGGCAGCCCTGCCGCTGTGGGCTGCGGCTCGCAAGCCCAGACATATTTCCAAAATTCAATTGCATCTAGAGGAGCAGTGTCTAGCCACAAGCACGCTGAGGGCACTAAAATCAATCCCCACAGACCATCCTACCTAGAGGATCCTTCACCACAAGCTGCCTCGACCAGCCAGAGAAGACAATTAAAAATGAATACAAGTGACAAGATATATCCCTCCAAAATTCTCCCTGAACAGGCCCTGGAGCATGCAAATACCTACATGGATGACACAAGACCATGCAAGACCTACCTGGATGCTCAGACCCTCCAAGCAAAATGTCCCCTGAAAATTCTAAGATTATTTGATGCCCATGATCATTATTTAAAGTTTATGTGAGGGATTTGGGAGGAAAAATGCATTGGGGAGAAGAGAAGAAGGTGGCTTGCATGGAGACACTGCCTGCACAGAGGACAGACAAGGGCAGAGCTCTTGGAAATGATGGTTGCAATCAATGAAGCGCATTGTACTTCCACCACATGAACCCCAGTGCACGGATGACTTCGTTTTCCACTCCTCATGCCTGTAACTGTGGTGTCCAAGTGGGGATTCCCATCCCTTTTCTAATTATTCCTTACAATCTTGAAGTGGGAAGGAAGCTCAGAAAAGCAAAAGCTTCTGTAAAAAACACCAAAAATAGCCCTCTTTGCCTTTGGCCACCATGGAGTGCTGTCTGCCGGCGTTACTAGCTCAAGTCCCAGGAGGGATCTATTTTGAGAATCTACCTCCACTTACCTAACTCATGGACTCCAAGAGGTGATCTGAGACACACTGTCCTCAGTCTCTCTTGCAGAAACTTTCTGATTTCTGTAAAAATAAAGCTTTTTTTTTGGGGGGGGGGGGAGTGTCTCTTCTTTGGGTATCTTCAAGCCAGGCCATCCAGCCCCAACATGATGGGAAAGGCAGAAAGATACAGGGAAGGGACATCCTTGCAGAAAAGCTCTTGGCTGGAGCTCTCCCAAGGTTTAGACCTGGTGGCCAAGTGTAACCAAAAAAGCATGCCTTTCCAAAAAAAACCCAGCTAACTCTTTTTCTATGATATTAACAGCCATCCTCTGCCAATAGGCTTGAAAAATAAACTCGTTAGACAGCAAGGGTCATTAGGAGATGGCGATGTGAAACCTGGTAGACTAGTCCACCCTTGTCCTGAGGCATGGGTGATGTCCACTAAACCCTTGAGCTCTGCAGGAGGAAAAGTGGACCCGCAGCTGAAAAAACACACTCTGGAAGAGTCGTCAGTCTTGTTTAAAATCCTCAAAAAGCTCCGTCCTAGGTCTATCCCTAGGTGCAAGGGCTGTTATTGCATTAGGCAAGACCTGGACCAAAGTCTACGTTTTCAGGTGCATCCATTCCTTGGAAATTTGCCTTGGATCCGCCATGTTTGTCACTGCACTACTGAGTGAAAGATTTAGCAAGTTCATAACATGACCTAGGAAAATCTCCTCCAAGTCTCCCAAAAGGCGTTTCTCCCATCAAACAAAGCCACAAGTGATTTTTGGAGCGAAGCCCACTGTTTTGCCCGTTTTGCTTCGTGCAGCCCCATGGTGTCCTGTCACAAGAAGAGCCCCGGCACCCCATAAAATGGAAAGTTATGCCAAGTTGTGTTGGGAAATGCCAATTCATAGCTTTAGCACTGCTGTCTGTAATGAAAAAGCTGCTGCTTTTAGAAGAAACACTCCAGTGTAAGGTGGCAAAGTGGGGACGCCAACCCTATCCACGAAAAAGTAGATGCGATTTGGCATACTCGGCTCAGCCACTACCAGCATCTGGGGACAGATTGCAAACATTCTGCTCTTCTTCCCAAGACCTCTCCGCTGGGTTTGACATCTACCAGCAGGCACCAGTCTCACGAAAACACATCGTAGCCTGCCCCCACGGAAAGCTGAGGGCTGTCTGCACAGGCAGAGCATCAATTGCTCTTTTATTCATTTTGCACAAACAAATGTTTTTTTTAAAAAAAGTAAAGTGCAATTACTTCTTGCTCACTTTGCCCCGGCATCCAACATCCCATGAACCAAACGCTGGAAAGACAGCAAATGCAAAGTGCTCAGCAATTTATTACAGAGTGTGGAGCAGTCCAGGGCCCAATTTAATTGCCAAATACAATATAACCCATTCGCTAAATAATCAAGACTTTACAGGTTTGGATTTGTTTAGGGAATTGGACGTGTAGTCAGTGTGAAAATAAAGAAACGTGAGAGGCCTTCGTTGCTGATAGTTCCGTGTTTTGGGGCTCAACCAGCCTGAAAAGGGCATGAGAGAGCTGCAGTGATTTGCTGGCCTTTTAGGTAATAATTTTATGCAATAATCTGTATTTTTACCCCTTTAAATCAGTTTACAGGCTATTTCCAGGTTGATTTGTCTGAAGAAACAGAAGACATGGAGCAGGGTGACACCGAACGCCACCAGCCCCTTATGGATCTGCTCCACCAAATGGTTGAATTCCGGGCAAAGAGCAAATATTTGGAGCCTCGGCCCTCCCCCCCCAAAGAAACTGTGAGCAATGAAGCTGAAAGACCTTTGATAAAGGCTCTCTCATTTCCGGCACTTTATATTTCCAGCAGCACTTTATATTTTGGCAGCAACTGAAGAGCAAAGTGTCCTAAATTTCCTTCGGAAATAAAATTGTTTCAGCTACCATTGCAATATTGCCATTAAGTTGGAAATGTATTTCCCAAAGAGCTTGAGTCTACCTTAAAGAGTCACAGCCAGGATAGATTTATCTGATGCTTTTTTGCCAGCAGTATATTACCTCCTCTTTCAAATAAAAATAATTAAAGACTTGAGCTGAGAAGTCGTTTTTCAGTGCAGTCACTGATGCCTCAAAACATTTAAAAACTCAAGGTATCTCTGACAGTCGTCTGCCATTACAAGGCGAAAAGGAAATACTCTCTGACCTGCCTGATTATCAAAATAGCTATAAAATAGTATTAGAAGTATCACCGAACACAAAAAAATGACATTGTTGGACTATGTGTTATCATATAGAGCTAATAATGTTAACATTAGTTTTGCAAGACACAACTCTCTTTTTCTAAATCAACAGAAAATAAGCGGGAATCCTTTTTCTAGCTAAATCACCGGCTTCTCCACTGCAGCAAGACCAGCGAAGATAAGGGAAGATCCAACACAGGAAATCATATGAGTGAAGTTTTCAAGCACTTTTCCGCATCTACCCAAAATTTCAGAATTATTAGAGACATCTGTTTTCCCCTCTTGCACACGGAAACTTTGAGGCATGTCCCCGGGAGATGGTTATGTATAGTCTGCGTTTGAAAATGTTTTCCAGTTATTAGAAGATATTTTTGCATATTAGTAGAAGATCGCCTTTCTAAAGGCTTTTTTTTCTTTAAGTATAATAAAGACGGGATGGAGTAGCGTTTCCAGTGATGGCAGGTGAGTTATGCTTGAAGTTTTTAATGTTACAGTCTTCACAGCGGAACAACTGGGTTTGTGTATGCTGAATTTTATGATATATGCATTCATTATATGAATATATATAAGTTAAAATGAAGAAATATCGCTGATGGAAAGGAACAAGCACCTCCAGAGGACCATATATCTCACTCGGAAATGTAAGTCGAAGACAGATTCACCCTCTGCGGGTGACAATGTCTCTCCACTGACCATAAAGTGAATCTGGAGCAACTATCTCACATTTGAACATCTAATTTTTATGTGCTGAAATGAGGCCACATGCAGTTCACCCCCACATTTTCTCATTTCTGATGGAAAAAACGCTGCAAAGGTTACCAGCTTTCATCAATAAAAGAGCGAGCGGCCCTCTTTTGGGCGAAGCCATCAGGGATAACAGCCGTATTAAGCCTCTTTATATGCTTTTTGGCAACGGTAAGAGCCACTTCTTCCTTGCTGTTGAGTCTGCCTGGCATGTAGGGGAGGGGTAAAGTCTTCGGATTTGCCTCATCCTGCAAACAGTGCAAATTCACCAAGGAAAGGAAGGCGTGGAGTCCGCAGTCACAGCCTTGAGCTCTTCTTCAGTTGAGCATCAACCCAACTGGAAGAGCACTGAGCTCCCACCTTGCGCCAGCAGCTCTGAGGTTGAAGTGAGGATCAACGAAAGGAGCAGGAGCAAGTTGGGGCAGCTGGTCCTCCCTGGGGATGAGGATTTCCATGCCTACATCAAAGAAAATTTTGACTTCTTCTCTGTAAATCAGCCCATGAGTGCCTTGAAATGGTCTTCAGCGTCCTCGGAACTCAGCGAGAATTCAGATTCTGGGGGAGACACCATCCACTTTGTGCTGCCTGGTTCACTTCCCCCTCGCCATATTTCAGGTTTTGCATTTCCAACACTTCAAGACAGCTTCAAGCAAAACCATGCATTTAGCAAAAGCACTGAGCTCTTGGAGAAAAAGGGATTTTAAATCCCAAGGAAGGGTTTATTTCCCTCCAAGGATCGCTATATTCTGAGGTAACCGAGGCAAGCCTAATGTCTCCAGCGATTCGCAGCAGCACGCAGTATAATCCAGGCCCAGCTCCACGGAAAAAATCCCCCACTTTGGAGATTTCTCTAAAAATTGCTGCCTGCCCGGCTGCCTTGTGCTTCCTTGCCCCTTCCCCAGCTCTCCAGGGTTTGCTGGTGGCATCTTACCCTCCACCAACCATGATCATCCTCGCTTGTTTTTACACATATTCACCCTGTGCACTTAAGCAAAAATTCTGACAAGCAGAAAAACATCAT